ACGAATTAAAACTAGTGTAAGTTGAATGTTTTATTTATTAAGTTCAATATTTTGAACTATTATCCTTAAAATAACTTGCCTTATTAGAGCCACATTTATTGTAAAAGTTTGTTATAAATATATTTTGGCAAATGTTAATAAAGTTTTAGGAGGAAGTACTTCTTGAAAAAATATTAAACAGATATACCTTTCATTATTCATTAAGTATTTTGTATTGAAAGGACAAAAGCCAAATTTGGGATTAGAACTATATTTAACCAAATATCTTAAACTATTAAAATTACAGAGATGGTTTAACTGATCAAGTTGTATATTTAACAAGAAGTTCAGCTGTAAAAACAATTTTGGATCTTTGTTTAAATAATACATTAAAAAGAAGCACTTTTGTTAAAAAGTGTATGCAACTGTTAATTTTATGTTCCTGTATATTTGTATCTGAAAAGTATATACCTAAATACACAGGAGAGTGGATTAACATTTGAATAGAAAAATTAATGAAAAAGTGCTATTTTTAATATATTACTTGAGCAAAAAGAAATATTTAAAATTTGCTTGTGCAGCCGAATTGTTTCTTAAAAAATACACAACTTTGTTGTGTTAAACCATTGCTGCAGCTTTAATTATTTTTAAATTTGGTAACTGTTTCATCTTTTCAGTATAAACATTGACCTATAAAAAAGGTCTAAGTAGGAAATCTAATGCAATTTAGAGATGGCTTATGCAACACACAAAGAACTAAAAGTTTCAATATATTGTAGGATGTTACTGATACTCGTGGCAATGAATTTGAGGAGTTTTGCCTAAAGCGAGAATTACTGATGGGAATCTTTGAAAAAGGTTGGGAAAAGCCTTCTCCCATTCAAGAAGCCAGTATTCCCATTGCATTGTCTGGTAAGGATATCTTGGCTCGTGCAAAGAATGGGACTGGTAAAACTGGGGCCTACTCAATTCCAGTGCTAGAACAGGTATGTACATTATTAAATTTTGAAATATGTTTTCTACTTTTCTTTTTCTTTTGTTAATATTCTTTAACAACTATGGCCTCTTAGGTGGATCCACGAAAAGATGTGATCCAAGCATTGGTGATTGTACCCACTAGAGAGTTAGCTCTTCAGACATCACAAATCTGTATTGAACTGGCAAAACATATGGATATCAAAGTAATGGTAACTACTGGAGGAACAATCTTACGGGATGACATTATGAGGATTTATCAGAAAGGTTTGCATTGATTTATTACGATTAATATTGTTTATAGTATGAAAATTATGTTCTATTTCTAACATGTTTCTCGTTATATTAATTTGTTATCAATATTTAGTATATTGATATCTATTTATCTTGATATGAAGTTAATTACATACAATAATCTTATTGTTCTATAAACGGTCACTTTATAACTGTGCTACCATTATTTCCATATGAGAGATTGTAATTTCAATTAATAGTCAAATGTTTCGGTGCATTTATAGTGCAAGTAATAATTGCAACGCCGGGAAGAATTCTTGATCTTATGGACAAGAATGTTGCACACATGGGTCATTGTAAAATTCTAGTTTTGGATGAAGCGGACAAGCTTCTATCGCAAGATTTTAAAGGAATGTTGGATCATGTGATTTCTAGGTAAATTTTGGCTCTGTTTGCCCAGTTTGTTGTTCTACATCACGTTCATAAAACATGGAGACTAATTAATTGTTTTCGTTTTTAATATTTAGATTACCACATGAACGTCAGATATTGCTGTATTCAGCCACATTTCCCTTAACGGTGAAACAATTCATGGAAAAACACTTAAGAGATCCATATGAGATTAATTTAATGGAGGAACTCACATTGAAAGGTGTAACACAATATTACGCCTTTGTACAAGAACGACAAAAAGTTCATTGCCTTAATACGCTGTTTTCCAAGGTAAGATTTGTTGTATCTGTTGTTGTATCATCCTCAACTTGAAACTGACATCTACAGAATCTATTTTTATACCGCATGGATTAACCACTTTTTTTTTTTTTTAATTTGTTCTAGTTGCAAATAACGCAAAGTATAATATTCTGCAATTCGACGCAACGTGTTGAATTACTGGCGAAAAAGATAACAGATCTTGGTTACTGCTGTTATTATATACACGCGAAAATGGCGCAGGCACACCGAAATCGCGTGTTTCATGATTTCCGAGCTGGGCTATGCAGAAACTTGGTAAGTGATAATACAATAGCATAAAATCATGCTTCTAATAGATGTCACACGTTTCATTCTGATATTTTCTATTCTCTTAATACCTATTTAAAAGTTATCATAACGTGTGTTTTTATTTTAATGTTTTTATTAAAATTTAATTAATGTACGAAAACAGCAGCTCAACAACAAAGCTGCATCCATCGTTATTCAAAATCATAGTCTATCCTACTTAAATTTTGGTTTAGAAAATAATAAAGATTTACCAAAACGTTTTAAACAAAAAATTATTTGATTTAGTTAGGAATTATGCTCGACATCATTACAAGTCAATATCGCTAATAGGTTTCTATAAATATCAGTTTGTGAGATAGATAACAATACCAGAGAGTAAAAGAAAATATTGTAGGTATATATTGTTCTAAAACTAGAATTTATGCAGGCATAAAGTACTTAATAAATATCTGAAATGTCAGTTACGTTGTGTAGGATTAGAAAAATCATATAAATGAGATTAAATTCAAGCAAAAAAATGTAGTATAAATGTAAAATGAAAAATGTGGGTTTGAGGAATTCCTTATTTAGGAATTTTCGTGATAGCTGCAGTGTCATGAGTTTTAGAGTTAAGCTTAATAACATTTAAAAGAAGAAATAAGTTTGGACGCGAAAATATATGTATATGAGTATCACGTATCTACAGGTGAGCAGCGATCTCTTCACACGTGGTATTGACGTACAAGCTGTGAACGTCGTAATCAATTTTGACTTTCCAAAAATGGCAGAGACATACTTGCATCGTATTGGTCGATCAGGGCGATTCGGTCATTTAGGTATAGCAATTAACCTAATCACATACGAGGACCGTTTTAATCTTCATCGTATCGAACAAGAACTTGGAACAGAAATCAAACCTATCCCAAAGGTAATAGATCCAAATTTGTATGTAGCAAGACCAGAAGACAATAACAGTATGGAAGAGGGTAATGTGTCCAAGTAGTTTCGATACGTCATCATTATGAAGTTTTACATGCGCTCAAAGAGTTTAAAGTGTAAAATGGTGATTGTGACTCGTACATATAAGGCATACACTGCTATGCTTTGAACTCACAGAGTGAAATGTTACTTTAGTTTGGAATGAATTGTCTGGTGTGTTTAACAGTGTATAAAGACGAAACAGTGCTATGAACATTTAGATAAAAAAAAAAGTGGTCTATATAGAAAAAAAATTGGAAATTTCAATTAACATAGTAAGCAGCGGAAACATGAATTACTTGTAAATAAGGCATATACTGAATACGAAACAGTGAACTCAGTGAATGATATGATGATGCGAATGCCGGTGCGAGTCATTCTTTGTACATAAATACATATAAATGTACATAATCTAAAGTGCGTCAGAGTCAAGCCATTATCAAGAGCACAATATGTAAACAAGTACATGGGTAACATAATAATCATAAACATTTTACCACAACTGTAAATATTACATGAAAAGTATCCATCATTTTAATAGTAAATTTTTATACAACGGCTTCATACTTCCAAGATCTTTTGTTCTTTAAGGGAAATTGTGATGGCATGTGTGATTTTCAGGAAAAGAGAAAACAGCAGAGTGAAAGAAAATTCATACTTGAACGCTGTTTACGAGTACCCAAATATTCTGTAATCCATATGCCCATTACTTTTGCATCTCCATAAGCACATATAAATTTTCCTTAAATATACCACAAATTCTAAATATTGTATTGATCTTAATATTTGATTATGGCTTGATTTTGCTACCTTGTCAATGCTGTCGTACAACTCTGAAATTCAAATCACTTTTCAAAAGAGCAAGCTTATCTTTTGTTTCTGTAAAGCGGTAACCTAAACGTTTTTTTTTAACTTGATCGTAATTTTTTTACGAAATCGTGATTGAGCGTCAGAGATTGTAAAATTGACTAGTTTTATATAATTATTTTGTATAAATAACTGGCTGGTGGTTATCATCAATATTAGGGATTCAATGTTCAATCAATTTCCATTAAATGTTTACATCTTACCTCCTACAAAATTGATGCATCAAACGAGTGTGCGAGTAATAAAATTGCCAAGCAAGAATCTTTTATTACTCTAGGAGCACGGTTTGTGTCTGGTAATAATAATAATAATAATAATAATCATCATCTGGTAATATTAAAGAGAACCATTCACAATTATATCGTAGTATACCATTTTGTGTGACAGATGAGTTAACTGCAAAAACATGATATGCTAGAGCTATTATTATCATGGAATCCCTTTTTACACTTGGTTTATCATTTTGATATCTGTGTACATGTTAATTGTACAAAATACAAAAAACTGTAACAGGCGTTTAAGACATTACTTTCGATTAGATTTCTATCGTATTATTGTTCATGTATTCCGTAAAACAAACAAAAGTACACCACCAGCCAAGACAACTTAGGTTTATGGAACGAAATGCGTATACATTAATAGGCAATAGTAAAAATATTTCTTACTTGAAGCGAAAAAATTTCAACGAGAAATATTAATGGGAGCGTCGAAAAGCGGTTTAGAATGCTCTTAGTCTTGTAATATCGGCTTTGACGGATATTTTGCTTTGGCGATCGATGGCAACAGAAGGGACGTCTTATGATAAAAATGATTGACCGCTGGAGCAGAAGGTGTAAGCATTTGAAATTTTGCTACAGAACAAAAAAAATTCATCGAGTTAAATCGAACGAATTTTTATATGCATACTTTAAATACATTTTACACGCGGAGAAGAAATATCGGACATTATTGGAATTAACGTCTTAGCACCGTGTGATGCATGTAAAGCTTGCTGACTTGTCAATTTTTTAATTTCTAATTGAATGTTTCGTACAGGCAATGGTACAGTATTCGATACAGTCAGGAAGCGGAGAACCGAATATCGGTGATCCCCGGAATACTTTATACGAGAGTTCTATATAACTGACTTGTATATGCATATCAGGGATAAAACGAGGAGTTGTTTTCTTCTTCGTTTCGTTACCCGCCATGAAATTGAAAAATTATATTTATACATACACCGGGTAATACACATCTGCCGCACAAAACATGTTAACGATTCTTATTCTACACGCGAGAATGATATGCTATACAATTATTAATCACTGACGTTAGGAGAGTACCTCTCTCGTTGTCATCGTCCGAGCATCGATGTTGTGATGTAGTATTATTATAATATTAAAAGCATTGGAAACCGTCTTTCTTTTAAGTGCTCACGCAAATCATAATTTGATACATACGATGTTTGATTAATGGGAAGTGTGTCCGCTACACACGCAGAGGTGTGAACGACGTTGATCGATTTGAACATTTTTGTCGGCTTGAGACACGAGTGTGATCGAGAAAATCGATGTCGATGTGGGAAAGTCTCGATAAACTGATCGTAACACAATCACGCATCTTATTGTTGCGAGGATCAGGCGATGATGATGCTTCGAAGTGATAGAAGGAAAAATGAATTACTAACGGAGAAGAAGGAAAAAGATCAATGGTACACGAAACATTCTTTTTTCACAATGGGATGTAAATATTCTAAAGTGGGATGGATTGTAATGAAAAAAAAAACAGTTAACGAAAAAATTGGCAGTGATCTAACGAAGTAATTACCTAAGCGTTGTATTTATTATAACAGTTTAGAGAAGAGAAAACACTGCTTAGCATTTGGTTTGTGGCTCTTTATTTTTCATCGATCGGAGATGTTTGATAAAGTGTATGATGATTCGCATACGATTCCATTCTAATGTAACATTATATTCATTTCTTCTCTAATTTGACCTTGATTATGTTTTCGACACGGAAAGGAAAAGAAACGGATAATTCAACGAATCCAACGGTATTTCGGATGTGTCTACCATTAAACAAAAACAAAAAAAAGGAAACACACAGAAAAACTATATACTCTTTCGCATATTCACCGCAAAATTTTGCTTTTGTGTTGTATGTTTGTGAAAGTTATTATGGTTCTTTTGACGAAGTTGTGTAGACTAGGGCGGTAATACTCTCTTGGTCTTACTGAATTGTCATTGGAAATACCATTAGATCCGACATGGAATCTATTTTGTGAAGTATATTTTAATCAGTCTTTAAAAGAGTCAAGAAGGTGTCGACGAAAAGATCATAAAGCTTGAACAAATTTTCACACAAAATGCGTCTCTGTAATCATTCCCGATCATCGCGTGCTCTTTGGTTACCCCATGAAGCATCTTCGATACACACACACGCGCGCGCACACACACACACAGACACACACACACTAAACGCGTTCGTTCGTCGTTGTTACAGCCGAACGCTGACAAATCAAACATCTGTACATGAATGCACACGTTTGAGATGTTCGAAATAGTATCACGAAAGTGTCGTTATTATATTCGTCTTGACTCTTTTCAAAGAATGGTATGAGTGCGAGATAAAATTATAAATTTCTAGTAGAAGTTGGGCGATAAAAGTTGCTGAATGCAATGCTATGCGCATAGACTGAAGGGTTTACGTACGTAGGATGTATTAAAGCGTGTAAACAGCAATTTCAGATCGGAATTTCGCACGCGGAAGTAACGGAACACCGTGCTGCGAACAGTTGTCCGATCGAACCTTGTTCTCCGACTGCAATAATCTTTGTAACTCGATCGTTTTTTTCGCGAAACGAGTTGGTTCGGTATACCGACGCAGAACATTGTCCTGTACGAGTACGGAAGCATTTGCTGCTTCATGATTTCCGCAACATGATTAACGGGCAACATGTTCAGTGGGAGGAACGTTCATGCTTCGTGATCGGTGGATGCGTGTTTTGATACATCCTACATGTATATAAATATATATGTTTGTTTCGTTCTATGGTTGATACCGACGAGAGTAATTTTAACCTTAAGGTTACATCATTCTCCATGTTGTACATTGAAGTTAAATTCTCGCGGTACATATATGTATACACGTGCATAATTTTGGCAGCGGCGAAGAAACGGTGACAGAAACGATCTCGGAGTGATTTTGTTCATGAAAATCTTGAAAGCGTTCCCTCATGTCTGTCGCATAGATACATATATATTTCCAAGTGAAGTTCCTGTGCCTCATCTTGGAGACGAGAATACCCTTGATGTGGAAACGATTTGTGAGAGCACCTTTATGATATAAAAGTGCAATTTTGGGAAGCGTTGTGTTAACATCTGGATGTGGAATGTACAAGGAGAATCCTTCGCGAACACCTACGAAGGGTCGCATTAAAAAGTTTTTAATGCAAACAATTCGCATACGGTGAAGGTGACAACATCTTTTGCGAGGCTGACGACATTCGGTTAACAGCTGCATTATACCTTCGCCACTATACGCGCTGACATCGGTACAGCGCGACGAGCTGCGTACACGTATATAAGGCAATATGTTTTAACAGTAAAGAACAGGACGATTGGACTCGCAATTAACAATTTCAAAACCTTTTTCAATGATAAGCAGCTCGTTCGTGGTGTCGGAAAAAGATCTCCGACAGTCGCGAGAAATAAATTTTAAAAAAGAAGAAAAAAACACAAAAAAACAAAGAAATAATTTCACATACAAAAAGTACCGTCACTGCAAACTTTTAATCGTTCTTGAAATTCATTTCCAAAAGTACTATTTTACTTCCACATAAAATAAGCTAATTGTTCCACGCAGACGGTACGATAGGAATCACAAACACACACCCTTTTTCGTGCTAACGAAACGAGGCGACCGAGCCTTTTTTGCGATACGTTCGAACAGAAATCAATTTTTTCTCTGACAACCAAAAAAATTGGATTATGAATTCGTGTAAATGCAAGTCGTAAATTACTGTGCACCTGTTTTTGATGTTTTATTAGACGGTATTATTCTACACGTTAAGTTCTTGCAGATCATTCGAAGCGATGAGAGTGCTGTGCATTAAAAAAGAAAGAAACATTTGTGCAGTATCGCTCGCGACTTGCATGGGATATTCATAGTAAGAGGATCTCTGTAATGATTGTAAATGTCGATCGAACCTTTTTTGTAATCGTAAACTTTTTATGTACTTCTGTGAAACCGAATATTTTTATGTTTGTTACGTTCGAAGAATGAAGAAAATTTTGACGCGTGCGAAAACGATATATTTCGAGATATTGTCTATTACTACAGGAACAAAAGTATGTTTATTTGTCGATTATGAAAGAATAGGTTTGTGCCCGTATTACGAAAGAGAGAATCTTTTTTATTTGCTTTTCATTTCTCAAAGCACAGACCCCGCGCCTCCCCCCTCTACCCCCCCCGCCCCGATGTAATTGGAAACGCATGTCCATGAATTTGTTTTCGAAAGGAACAACACAGCAAAAACAAATTTGGTCCTTAATAAAATTTCCGGTTCAGTACACCTTGAATATTATTTCTCTTTCCTTGGAACCTGTTAACGGGCCATTGCCACACACTAACCATTTATCGATAGTCACTAAGGTAAACGAGAAACTAGCAGACTAATGTACATAAACAACACCGCCGACGGTCCATACTTTTGGTATGCTGCGAATATTTTGATCGAAAGTTTTCCTTTGTCCTTGAACAATTAAGCGCGAAACGTTTAATTTTACCAATTCTTTCGATCGGGATTTGGTAGTACTAAGCAGAAATATTCGGTAGTGTCGTAAATTGTTTCAGGTCGGTGTTTTTCAAATCGATCTTGATTTTAAACATTTACACTTACGTGCAACTAAAGGAACCTGATTTTTTGAAAGCGAAAGTGCGTGTTACATTATTTCGTATGTTAACGAAGTGTACTTTCATGTTTTTCTTTTTTAACACTTGCATGTTTTACGACATACTATTATCGAACAAAACAAAATCAATGCATAATACCGGAAACTTTAATTCGCGTTGATTTCTGAATAAATCAAATTATATTCAACTATTGGTTATCTTACTGGAATAGTTTGCAAACAGTACTTAGGAATGCCGATTCTCTGAATCGGTGCAGCATCCAGCGAATGCAAATGTCAAATTATTTCGCAAAATGCAGACAAGAATATTTCATGATTTCATTTATCTCCGAGTCCGATATGTAAAATACGTAGAATTTCATTTGCCTGTAATATCTACTTGATTCAAATGTTCGAATACTTCTGTAACTTATAATAATAACGAAATGGTAATTGCAATGGCGGTATGATTCATATGGAAAACGCGTACTTAGACTGTTATTTCGATGTATTGTAATACGGTTCGCTTATTTAATTTATTCGACAAAAGCGGAAACATCGCGACTTAAGCGGATTACGAAAAGCCTATTGCGGAATCTATAATGATGTATTATGAAAGTTAATTTTATAAGCTTCCGTGTATTCTTGAAACCGTGAATTATCATGAATTATCAAGGCTCCCGACCAAATAGCGAGAATAGTTTCACGAACGACCGGTCGTATTCAGAAATATCCCGTGATCGAGTTTAGTATCGTATCTTTGCCGGTTAATAGTCTGTCCGATCGATATCGTCGTCCAGTAGAAATAGATCAGAGAAGTATTATTTCCATTGAGAAATCATAAATATTGGAACGAGCTGTACAAATAGAATTCTATTCTTGTAATTGCATTCATTTATTTCGGCGAGAGTAATTCCGAATCTCTGCGAGTCACGGATGATCGTTATGTATACATATACATACATATGTATAAGAGACGAATCCTGTGCAAAATGTTTGATCGGCCGGGTTACTTCTGCAAAATCTATACATATCGGTTTCCTCTCGCTGACTTTTACGTTGTCATTTGTAATCTGATAGGACACACTGTCGCCGGGAATACCTCCCTTTTTATCATTTACAATGGAGCCGAGCAGTGGAAGTTGACTATTTCCAACGAAGAATCAAAGTTTTCTTTTATCTCTTCACGTTTTATTGTCTTATATGGCCAGGATAATTTTATACAATAGTGACTATTATAAGAAGAAAAATGTCTAGAGGGTACAGAAACATAAGCAATGTACAAAATAATAGGAAAAGATTAGTGAGAATAAAATAAGTGAAACAACAAAACGACGGTGTGATGGATAAAAATGCAACGCGGACGAATATGGGAGCTGACAGCAAATCGTTGTCGCTTGCAATCGAATGGGAAGCTTGCAGACAAATTTTTAACGAAGCAGAAACTCGAAAAAACGGTTGTCGAAGGTTTTCTCTGCTTTTAGGGTATCTTTTATAGAATAAAGATACCGAGTTCTACCGACAATTCGATTCGATCGTTTTAGCGATTAAAATAAATGTAATCTTTTGTATTCGTGCATCAACTTTGAGGAATCAATATTTCTTGCTGATATAGATATCGAAAGACGCGAAATGGTATCAGCATAACCTAACTGTCAGGGCTTAACAGATAACGAATAGATTGTCGCGTAAATATAAACATACATCTTTTCAATTGTTGCCTGCTGTATTGCTATAAAAAGTATAATAGTATTCGTTAAAAAAATTCCTTTTCTAATTTTTCATAAAAAGTAGAAATAACGAATATTCATTATCATTATCGTGTTACAGGGCATCTCGGAAGGAAATAATTTAAAGTAGTTTCCTTTAGTATCGAAGACATTAAAAGTATTAGGTATCTATAAATAATTGTTGCGGTGCTCGGGACAATTAACGCATTCTTAAAAAAATATTAAAAACCTAATGGTGCTGTAATTAGACTGCGGAACTTTGATCGAGTTCGTAAAGATTTATAAAACCCGATTTGAGAGAAATATAAATTGGAATAACGTGTTTCGGTAAAGGTGTCCAAAGATTTTCTGGAATTGTAAACGCACAGAGATCCGCAGTTTGGTTATACTAAACTATAAGTAGCGTTATACATAAATAAAACCAAAGGAATATTGTCTTTCTATGGATCGAAATAAATGTGTACGAACTTACAAATCGCCTTGATATTTAACACACGAAAATTAGTTCGACACATTACACGAAATCATGGCGTTAGGCCGCGCATGAAAAATAAAAATTATGTACTAAAACCACTAGAGATATTCGAACGAATCAAAATACAGTCGGTAGATATCGACGAGCTTCGTTCGATAGATTTTATTCATTTTTTAAATTACTATTAAAAATAGAGAACGTTGGCTCGATAACCTCTTATTACCGAAGGTAAATACCGATACATTGACAAACGGTGAAAATAAGATTATTTCACGCTGCTTATCTTACAAGAATCTACATTCTTTATCGTTCGAATAGGGTGAAGATAATGTAACGATGTTTCTAAATTCTTTGAACGTTATCACGATTTCGCATCTCCCCTATTTACTTTTACCATAAATTCAGAAAATCCGCGGACTTCTCATCGGGCGTGTAGCGGTCAATTAACATCCTCGGGCTGATAACTTTTCGCTCTCCGATCATACTTGTTCACGACGTGCGCGGTAAATTTGCGAGACTATCGCATTAGCGAGTGTAATGAACGCGCGTCAAGGCCTGTTACATCGCGCGGCGCGGCGCGGAACTCGAGAAATACGCGAGATTGTACAATTTGATAAACTCCACGGAAAAAATCCAGCCGGAGGTAACTTTGTGCAGTTTCGGTTCGTCGATGGTTCTTTTTTCGACTTCTTTACACCCTTTTACCGGCTTTGATTAGAGAGTGTTCCGCGGAGGGCGGAGCTAATGGGGTGGAAATATCAGAGCCGAGCACATTTTTCAGATCGAAAGTATTGCAAATAGTAATCGAACCACTTTTATTTAAACAAGATTTTATTTCGGAATTTTACGCACGCGAGTACGTGAAAATGATTTAATCTTTCCACGGTTTTCCGGATCTAACACAACCCGCGCCGTGTATTTTATTTATATAACTTTTTTAATTATTTTCTTTTGCTTTTTATTCACTTTTATTTTCTTTCGTATTTTCATAGTAATTATCACGTATATCTTTTTATATAATACATTTAAGGATACTATAGGAGGGAGGGTTCGTGGAGACACTGGTTTTTGTAGGATACATTAAGAATAATTATGTTTCCGATTTCACTGATAATTATTATGAAATAATTAGACCAGATGCTTGTTTAAAATTGATTCGTTACAACGCGAAAAAGCCTTCGATATTTACCGGACAACGAAGCGGAACAGGATTACGTGCGGACCTAGAAACTTCAAAATCGATCGCCGAGAAACTTCGCACGCGCTATATTCTTGCAAAGCATCGAAAACCACCCCGCGAAGCATCTACGAAATACCGGAAACCGAGTGTATTGGGATAAGAATTCGAGGATCGGGCGGTTGGTGCGATATGAACGACCGCTATTGATTTTAAGTAATCGCTTAAATAGCGTCAATGGCCTGTGCAATGGTGTCATGGCATGCAACGGACAGAGATGCGAGAAACTCGACCGGGGCGGCCGGCCGGGAAGTTTAAGCCGTTGGAAATCGACGCGGTTCTTACTCGTCTTCCCGACGCGACGCGCCGCGTCGCTTCGCCTGCCCCCTGCCCTTTCGACTTTCTTCGCGACATTTTCACCGGCGTGTCCCGTCATTCCGCGGCATCGTAAATCGATAAATGCTCGAAAGCAGATTAGAAATGCGTGCGTGGGAAATGGAAATGGAAATGCACAAGGGCACGCAGAGACTACGGTCCGTCCCCGCCGCGCCGCGCCGCGCCGCGATCCTTGGACGAAAGAGGGACGTTGATAAAACGTTGGAAGGTCGTTAACGGGGGATGCTCCGTGATTTCTTCAGGGGTCGCGTAGGCTTCCGCGTCCATTAGGGTTGCATTACACGTGGCGGCGTTCGCTCGGACACGTGTATCGGTTCGAACGATCAATTACCCCTAAAAGGTCCTTTAGGGAAAATTCGCTGGCCAGTCGCCACCTCGATCGTGGACGAATTCTCGCAGCCCCGAGCTTCTCGAGCGAGACTAACTCACCTCCGCGAAGGAACACCCTCATTTTCCGTATAATTTCCACGAGAGACGACAGACAAGAAAGAGAGATCTCTCGTCTGGAGGAAACACGGCGGGGGGGGCGGTAAAGAACGGGCAGACCTCTCGAGTACGTAAACGCGAGAGCGAGGAAGACCCTGCGCCGGAAAGGTGGGTAAGAAAACAGAAAAACAAGCGAGAGACGACTTCTCCGGGTCGGATCGCGACGGGCAGAAACGATGAGAGAGAGTCCCTGGCAGTTGACGGTAGCCGATAGATGATATCGCAGCCAACAGCGTCGTCGCCGGTGCCGCCGACCGCCGTTAGCCATCGTTGTTCGCCTCTTCCTTTTCCTCTGTCTGCCGAGACCGGGCTAGCAGGGCCCTGTCCCTTTGCTCGTAATCTGGCAGTGCATTTAACCACTTTGTGAAATAGCCGTATATCTCGCCGCTGTGACGTAGCATTCGATACGTCGAAAAAGGGAGGTCGGGAGGGTTGAAGGTGGTGGCGAGAGAAAAGGAGAGCAGCTAGGGAGTTCCGGGGTGGGGTGGAGGGGCGAGGTCAGGAAACTCCGTAGGAAAACGTGGAATGGGTCGGAGGGAGAGAAAGAGAGAGCGAGAGAGTGTGTGTGAGCAGAGAGAGAGAGAGAGAGAGAGAGAGAGAGAGAGAGAGAGAGAGAAGAGCAGAGACGGTGTAACATTGTGCGCGCGCCCGGCGCGTACCCGTTTAGAGGGGTGGAAAGCGCCGGCTCCGAAGGTAGGGGTTGCTCGGCCGAAGAGTATCGTGGTGGGAAACGATCCCTACCCGACGGCGTTCGCGGAAAGCGCACGAGCTGTCTGGCCGAGAGAGTGGTGGGAGTTTCGGGGGGATGTTGCCGGGAACAGCAGGCTCGCGAAGCGAAGGGGGTGAAGGATGCTGGTGGATGACGCTGGAGGAGAGGAAAGGCGCCGTAAGGGGTGCTCGGAATCACGGTGGTGGTGTGTACACACTGTATATAGTCTGGCAGGAGTGGAAGAAGGGTGCGCCCTACTTCGCGTCGGCGTTTTCCCTCCTGGCAGTGTGCAACGACGTACCGAAAGAAAGACGGAGAAGGCGGCAGAGGGTATCTCTCCGGTTCGGTGGCAGGCTTTTCATAGTCTCCCATTTCACGACGAACGTCCGCGGCATCGGTCCGAGTGTTATCGACGGTCGGCTGTGCGTAAACGGCGAAAAATCGGAAACGGCGGGGTTAATACCTGGGATATCGCCTGGCGCGGACAACGCCTCGGATAATAGGCAGTGAGAACAAGCATCGTCGCCGTTGCCGTCGCCGTCGTCGTCGTGGTCGTGGTCGTGATCGTGGTCGTGGTCGTGATCGTGGTCGTTGTCCGAGGAGGGTGGTAGATCGAGTGTGCCGCGGGGTGCTCGGTTCTCGTCGGTGGTGCTGCTGCGACGCCGATACGACGCGCCGATATTGTCCACGACCGTTCTCGACCGCGGGGGTGCTACAGTTTCCCTTTTCGTCTTTTCCGCGAGTCTGTCCCCAGTGCTACGCTCCGAGTGAGAGAAGTGCACGCCGATGATCACCGCGTTTACGTAAGAGCAAGAACGGACGGGCCGCTCTCTCTCTCTCTCTCTCTCTCCTCTCTNATCGTAAATCGATAAATGCTCGAAAGCAGATTAGAAATGCGTGCGTGGGAAATGGAAATGGAAATGCACAAGGGCACGCAGAGACTACGGTCCGTCCCCGCCGCGCCGCGCCGCGCCGCGATCCTTGGACGAAAGAGGGACGTTGATAAAACGTTGGAAGGTCGTTAACGGGGGATGCTCCGTGATTTCTTCAGGGGTCGCGTAGGCTTCCGCGTCCATTAGGGTTGCATTACACGTGGCGGCGTTCGCTCGGACACGTGTATCGGTTCGAACGATCAATTACCCCTAAAAGGTCCTTTAGGGAAAATTCGCTGGCCAGTCGCCACCTCGATCGTGGACGAATTCTCGCAGCCCCGAGCTTCTCGAGCGAGACTAACTCACCTCCGCGAAGGAACACCCTCATTTTCCGTATAATTTCCACGAGAGACGACAGACAAGAAAGAGAGATCTCTCGTCTGGAGGAAACACGGCGGGGGGGGCGGTAAAGAACGGGCAGACCTCTCGAGTACGTAAACGCGAGAGCGAGGAAGACCCTGCGCCGGAAAGGTGGGTAAGAAAACAGAAAAACAAGCGAGAGACGACTTCTCCGGGTCGGATCGCGACGGGCAGAAACGATGAGAGAGAGTCCCTGGCAGTTGACGGTAGCCGATAGATGATATCGCAGCCAACAGCGTCGTCGCCGGTGCCGCCGACCGCCGTTAGCCATCGTTGTTCGCCTCTTCCTTTTCCTCTGTCTGCCGAGACCGGGCTAGCAGGGCCCTGTCCCTTTGCTCGTAATCTGGCAGTGCATTTAACCACTTTGTGAAATAGCCGTATATCTCGCCGCTGTGACGTAGCATTCGATACGTCGAAAAAGGGAGGTCGGGAGGGTTGAAGGTGGTGGCGAGAGAAAAGGAGAGCAGCTAGGGAGTTCCGGGGTGGGGTGGAGGGGCGAGGTCAGGAAACTCCGTAGGAAAACGTGGAATGGGTCGGAGGGAGAGAAAGAGAGAGCGAGAGAGTGTGTGTGAGCAGAGAGAGAGAGAGAGAGAGAGAGAGAGAGAGAGAGAGAGAGAGAAGAGCAGAGACGGTGTAACATTGTGCGCGCGCCCGGCGCGTACCCGTTTAGAGGGGTGGAAAGCGCCGGCTCCGAAGGTAGGGGTTGCTCGGCCGAAGAGTATCGTGGTGGGAAACGATCCCTACCCGACGGCGTTCGCGGAAAGCGCACGAGCTGTCTGGCCGAGAGAGTGGTGGGAGTTTCGGGGGGATGTTGCCGGGAACAGCAGGCTCGCGAAGCGAAGGGGGTGAAGGATGCTGGTGGATGACGCTGGAGGAGAGGAAAGGCGCCGTAAGGGGTGCTCGGAATCACGGTGGTGGTGTGTACACACTGTATATAGTCTGGCAGGAGTGGAAGAAGGGTGCGCCCTACTTCGCGTCGGCGTTTTCCCTCCTGGCAGTGTGCAACGACGTACCGAAAGAAAGACGGAGAAGGCGGCAGAGGGTATCTCTCCGGTTCGGTGGCAGGCTTTTCATAGTCTCCCATTTCACGACGAACGTCCGCGGCATCGGTCCGAGTGTTATCGACGGTCGGCTGTGCGTAAACGGCGAAAAATCGGAAACGGCGGGGTTAATACCTGGGATATCGCCTGGCGCGGACAACGCCTCGGATAATAGGCAGTGAGAACAAGCATCGTCGCCGTTGCCGTCGCCGTCGTCGTCGTGGTCGTGGTCGTGATCGTGGTCGTGGTCGTGATCGTGGTCGTTGTCCGAGGAGGGTGGTAGATCGAGTGTGCCGCGGGGTGCTCGGTTCTCGTCGGTGGTGCTGCTGCGACGCCGATACGACGCGCCGATATTGTCCACGACCGTTCTCGACCGCGGGGGTGCTACAGTTTCCCTTTTCGTCTTTTCCGCGAGTCTGTCCCCAGTGCTACGCTCCGAGTGAGAGAAGTGCACGCCGATGATCACCGCGTTTACGTAAGAGCAAGAACGGACGGGCCGCTCTCTCTCTCTCTCTCTCTCTCCTCTCTCTTTCTCGGCCGTGGTGTATGCTTACTCGTTCGTATGTATATCCGGAGTGTGTGCGCGCGCGCGTGTGACAAGCACCGACAAATACGGGAAAGCCAGACGAGAAAGAAGACGGTGGTGGTTTTCGTCGATTCGTGAATTCGCTGAATATATTTGCCGGCGTGGAGAGTATCGTTTTACGGAGACCTGGCGTAGAGAAACGGTTACGCGTGCATCGTCGTCGTCGTTGTCGTCGTTCTCGTCTTTGCGATCGTCGTCGTCGTCGCCGTCGCCGTCGTCGGAGGCCGAGTCAGGAGGATTCACGAATGGACGAGCCAAGACCACTTAATTCCAACCCTCTCGTTTGCATAATTAGCCGTAGTATGCTGCAAGAACTACACGGGGAGAAGGGTTTGCGTAAACTTTGGCACAAGGGGTGAGGTGTGCGACAGCGACAGCGAGGAGACGGTCCTGTACGGAATACGCGGCGAATATTCGGAACGAGAGAGGAAAGTAGGCGTGGGGAACGGCGGTACCGCGTTCGGACGGGAGACAGACCGCGCGAGGACGGGAATGGACGCGAGATCGTCTGCGAAGGATTCTCTCGGCAGGCCGAAAACGAGTCAGTGATTATTGATGCGTTTGACGAGGCCGGGACCCTCGAGCGATATTGTCGGGGAGGAGAGCGCCGAACGAAACCAGGACCATCGCCGTTCGACGATAATACAGTTGTTCGTCATGGAGATCTCGGTGTTCTTATTTTACGTGATGACGTTGCTCGGCGTCGCGACCAGCGACAAGTGCGCCGATCAGTGTTCCTGCAAGTGGAAGAGCGGGAAGCGCACGGTCGAGTGCATAAATCGCGCCCTGACCGGCATACCGGAGTGGGTCGATCCGGAAACGCAAGTGCTGGACACCAGCGGGAACGACATTCGGTTCCTGCCGAGCAATATCTTTGTACGGGTACGCTTGACGAATCTACAGCGTCTCTACCTACGCGAGTGCCGTATCGACCGAATCGATAGCGAGGCACTGGCGGGCCTTACGAATCTCGTGGAGCTCGATCTGAGCCACAATCTGCTGGCCGCGGTCCCCAGCGGCAGTTTCACGAACACGCCGTTCCTCAGGGACCTCGTGCTCGCGAACAATCCCCTGAAGAAGATACACTCGCTCGCGTTCAAGAGCACGCCGAACCTGGTCAAGCTCGACCTGTCGCACACGCAGCTCGCCGAAATCGAGAAGAGGGGCTTCCGCGGCCTGGAGCTGCTCGAGAGCCTGAAGCTGAACCACAACCAGCTGGTCACCTTCCATCCGGGCACCTTCGAGCCGCTGAACAAGCTCACCAGCATCGAGCTGCACGAGAACCCGTGGATCTGCGACTGTCACCTGCGCGAGATGAAGATGTGGCTGGTGAAGCACAATCTGCCGACCCTGCAGGCGCCGCTCTGCCACGGGCCGAAACAGCTGCTGAACCGCACGTTCGCCGACCTCGGGATCGACGATTTCGCCTGCCAGCCGATACTCCTGATAACCGGCCGGTACACGGAGGCCACGATAGGCGAGAACGCGAGCATCGTGTGCCGCGTGAGCGCGATACCGCCGGCGAAGGTGAAATGGTATTCGAACGGCCGGCAGCTGACCAATCATTCGTCGTTCGGCAGCCACCAGAAGAAGATCCTGATATTCGAGGAGGGCCAGTTCCGAAAGGTGAGCACGCTGGTGCTGACGAACGCCGAGGAAGCGGACTCGAGCGAGTTCTACTGCGTGGCCGAGAACCGGGCCGGCAGCGTCGAGACCAACTTCACCCTGCACGTGTCTTTGAGAACCGCTGGCATGTCCACCCTCGGCTCCGGCCAGATCGCCGGCATCTCGGCCGCGCTGGTCGTCCTGATCCTGCTGATCCTGCTGATCATCCTGGTGCTGTTCATCCGGCTGCGGAGGATGCCGCAGAAGGACGTGAAGTCGTCGGTGCCCGCGGAAGGCGTCTCGGTCGACGGCGGCAGCGCGAACAACGAGAACCCGCCGTCCGCGACCGCGACCGCGGCCGCGACCGCCGGCTCCCGCAGAAAGTTCGACGAGACGATGGAGACCACGTCGTTCGGGGTCGAGTCGAAGCCGCCGGTCTCCCTCAGCCTGAGCTACGTCCAGAGGCCGCAGGCCGCGTCCCTGCAGCCGGAGCACGAGTACGGCTCGATCGGCCGGTTCGACGACCCGGGCCAGCACCATCCGTCGGAGATGGTCGCGCCGGCCGCGTGCTTCTCCTCGACCGCGTCGCTGATGCCGATCGAGAACCCGGACCTGATCAGGGACACGCGGCGCGGCTCCGCGGAGGACATCACGCCGTACGGCGGGGCCGACTACAGCCGCATGGAGGTCGTCGACGACGCCAAGATCCTCTACTCGGGTTGCATGTGGGAGGCGAGGGACGCGTGCAGGACATCGGTGTCGGTCAGCACGTACCCCTCGAAGGAGGCCCTGGCGGTCGTCGCGCCCATGGTCGAGCAGTTCCCGCCGGGCGCGAAGCAGCTCCGTGTCTGGCAGAAGGGAGTGCCGGTGATACCGCCGGTCTCGGCGTTGAAGCGTGTGCTCGGTTCGACGCGCAGTTCGCCCGACGAGGGCTACCAGGAAGGGACTGGGACGGATGTCTAGGTGCCGCTGCTTCATTACTGCGACGCCCGGCACCGTTACCTGGAGCTCCGTAGACGCCACCAGGAGGACACCGATTGTTGAGAAACAGGGAAACGGAGAGAAAGAGAGGGGGAGGAAGAGAGAGAGAGAGCGAGAAAGAAACGAGCACACGCAAGTTTTATTGTCCAAGTGCCGGACGAGCGGTAGTGAACGATACGCGTACTATCATTTTTTCCGTACTACGATGTCAGTTCGTCGCGCCGACTATGTTGGGACACAGAGAGACTACTCGACGGGGTTCGCTCGTCGTGTCGCGTGAATCGCGTTTATATACATATATACATATAAATAAACGTATATGCATAATTACGCGCGCGGTTGTACGCGCGGATGCACGCGCGCGTACGCGGCTACGACCGTGCGCGTACGTTATTCTATACATGTATATATGTATACGTATACATATATGTATACGTACAGATATATACGTATATAGGGAGACAAACGGAGAACTGTGTAAAGAGAGAAAGAAAGAAAGTGTGCGTGCGTGCGTGTGTATGTGTATGTGTATGTGTATGTGTGTGGGTGTGTGCGTGTGTCTGTGTGTGTGGTCGATGAAACGGTCGTGTCGAGGTGTTCCGTTCGTACGCGGGTATACATGGACGTACCAGGATAGGGAAGTCGTCGAGAGTCCGCCGACCGAACGAACCGTGGAAACGAACATCCACTTGTCGCGAGATTTACCCGCGGTCGATGAAATAGTTGGATGTGTCGTCGTGACTAATGCACGGAACACATAAAACGAAGAATCTGCCGGGGAATCGATCGATGAGACCGAATTGCCATCCGGCTGCTCGAGGAATAATGCCCGACGCGATTATTCGAGGCGCTCCGTGTGTGCACGACGTACGAGACGAGGGATCCGATGTTTTAACGACCGGAACGATGACACGCCATGCTACGATACGGAGCGTGGGCGGCCCGGCTCTCCGCTACGTTGTCGCTCGTCGCTCGTCGCTCGTCGCTCGGTGGTCTCGCAGCACAATATTCACGGGTAAATGATTTCTTGTAACGGTTAAGGGCAAACGGGAACGGAAACGGATAACGGAAAAGAAAAGATTCGATGTTTCGAAAAGTTCGCGTTCAAACACGAGGGAAAACGTACACGCGCGAACGAACAAACGGATACACGTTTCTTAAGGTACTGAACAGAGGAAGACTGGAGTGCATGTTCCAAAGGACGTGTAGATAGACTGATTGCGAGACCGAGTATAATTTCTATCGCCGTATTGGCTACCGTAAGGAAAAATAATACTAGACGTGGAATTTCTAGTCAATTCGAGGATGTAACTAGACGATTAGAGAATTTGGACAATTGGGGTTCGCCGGCACGGTTGATACGGTTGGCACGCGATATTTGTTCTGGTCGCGGAGCGGCGCGACCGTACTTGTTTCGAAAAAACGATGTCAGCGCATAATAGCGGTGCCGACGCAACAACGGAGTACCAAAACTTTTGTCCTGTCCGCGATTCGGACCGCCTCGTCGAGGTGATTTTTAATTTCATACGTAAAATCGACGGGACTCCGCCGTGCGCGCCGATTTCGATTTCTTTCGAATAAGGTCGGGCCGGGAAGGATCCCGGGGCCGAGAACGATCCCAGGCCGGGCCTCCCCAGTCGGCGGATTCGCGGGAACGTACGAGCGCGACGTTTCGAGCCGATATCGTCGCCTCGGATCGTTATTGGCGTTCGCGTTCGAAACGAGAACAAATTCACGGGGAACGATGCACCGTGAAATATGACGCCGGGTACACCCTTGGATTCGACGTTTCGCGATTCTCTCTCGACGGTAAATTGATTTACTTTTGCCGCGCGCGTTACGAACGATTCCGCCCGCAGATATCCGCAAAAGTATCCGGTCGCACCGAGGAATAGGTAGATTCTCCGGGAGGATAGTTAGTTCGGACGGTAGAGGCGTCATTTCGAGATCAGTTTCGAACGGATACGCGTACACATACGTATTCTCTTGCGTTTCCTCTCACGCGTTTGCGTTCGATCGTCTACAACTTTCTGCACAGTACGATTATTCGACGCGCGAGAATCGTTTTCAGTTCTACCCATAGGATAGTCACCCGACAGATCGTTCGTTGCGAGCATTCTTTTTTACGAGGTACACGGAACCAAAGGGGTGCGAGTGACGTTTCGACAGCGATCCGCGTAAAAGCTCGAAAAAAAGGTCGAAATTCTTTTTGCAGTTCGACGAATTGTTTGTTGTCAAAATCCTCGGTTGCCTCGAATTCGCGATTGGCTCCCGCGGCTCCGACGATTAATAGTTGGCACGCGGACGGGGCGCGTATACAATTTTTTAATCGATTTCATGTTTAACGCGAGTCGTCGAACACGCGTAAGATAATGTTATCGCGGTTGCATCGTTTCGGCGGGAAGAGATACGAAACGTAAAATAACATATTTCGTAGACACGTTAGCGCGTTCCTACCGATTCAAAGGATAAAAGTTCCGTAAAAATGCGTAAGCGATGCATTTTTCAAGTCTTCGAACGATACTTGTGCTCGATGTTCGATTGCTAAAACTATTCACAGCCAACCGGTTCGCGATTTCATACTTTGCATGGAAATCGTAATTTACATGGAAATTCGATGAACTTTGATACGCGACTATTTGAATACTTTGGAAAAGGAGGTACGCTTCCGTTGGAAAATTTTGCCGGCTTTTAAACGAAATCGCGACTGTCGGAGCATCGACGTCGAAGAAAAATTAGCCTTCGAGTTCAATTTGTAGTAAACTTTGAGAATTTTAGCCAGCTTTCGAGCAGAAGGTTCAAAAATTGGACGACGCTAAGGGCCAACTCGGAAAAATTCTGAAACCGTCGCACACACCTTTGGCGCCGAGTGCCTCGTACACGATAAATTTAACCAGAACTTTCGTTCGTCCTTCGAGCCTCGGCTCGATATCGTCGTTTCCTTGCAACGCTGTAGAGATCGGAGTTTAGGACGCTTGAACGCGATAGAAGCATACTTTATTTTGGATACTATACGGATGTAACTTATTTTTCGTAGCCTCGACGAAGGCTACGTACCACCCCCGATACGACGACTATTTTAAGGAGATTGTAAAGTACTATTTTGATATATTTCGGGGAAAAAAGACTCTAGCGATTAGTGAAAAAAATAAAACGTGTAAACGAAGATTTTTCGATTCGAAAACGGTGCAGACCGGATATTTCTGTAGCTAACTGTGCAGACGGGTCGCGATGTCGCGTCACAACACTGCCTCTTTCGATATTGTTCAACGTCATCGAGGAATATTTCAGTCCTTTAGCATATCTTCAAATAGTAGGTGTGTATCGGACGTTTATACATATCGGTACGTCGGTTTCGATTACCGGCGCGTTTATCCCACGATGCATATCTTCGCGCGTCGCGATGTTTGTCGAACGAAAATGCTCAACAAAAAAACACAGGAAAGACAGAGAAGAAAAGAAGAGAAGAGAAAAGAAAAGAAAAGAAAAGAAGCCGGAGGAAAAGTTCGCGATCCCGGAATGTATCCGTCGTCGATCGAGAGACTTCTGTTCTGTCGTTTTCCTCTCTTGATTTCGTGGTTCGTGTTTCCGTTGTTACTCACCCGAAGCCAATATACATAGAATCAATTACATAAGACTGTATAGCAACCACGGGAAGCCCGTAAGACAATTGCAAGCGGAACATCCATACAAACTATTGCTCAAGAAAACACTGAATCGGAGTGCTTGCGATTGGCTGACCGGCCGATGCCTCGCGTTAGTGTCTTACGTAAGTTGAGTCTCTCTCTGTGTGTGTGTGTGCGTGTCGATCCAGATATTAGGCGATAAGCGGTAAGCCAAAACGTCGATCGCGAACATCGGTCAGTTATCGGACTAACAGCGGTGTCGGTGTGTGCGCGCGTGTGTGTGTATGCGCGTGTCGCGTGCACGCTGTTTCGCTGTTCGCTACTCGCTACTCGCTGTCGCCGGTGTGTTTTCGTGTGCGATTCCACACGGCAGAGTGTGCATACGCGGTTCGTACGTGTCTCGAGCGTCTCGTGTCCGAATATACATATGTGTATGTGCGTGCGTGCGTGCGTGTGTCTATGAACGTGTACGATAATACGATTGAAAGTATCCGCGTGGCCCGTGCACGTGCACACGGCGGTGTCGCGAAATCGACGGCGGAATCGCGCGTGCAGCGGTTGCAATTACCGCCGATTGGTTTATCGCCTATCGTTCGGGCCGGCTGCTTCTCTCTGCTCAATGATCCCAGAATCCTCTGACGTATCCGTGACGAGACGAGATAGAGGAGAGAGAGAGAGGAAAAAAAAGAAAACACCACACCGAGTTCGATACGCGCCGACCGGCTCTCCATCGGAGATACCGAATCATCTGTGCATTGTGCGTGCCTCGGCGTGTCTCCCCGCCACCGTGGCGCGCGATCGCACGATCGCACACGCGTTACGTGTATTCTATATCATCGTACAAGCCTGCCTGTCTATGCTCTGCGGGAGCTTGTCGCGTGTGTACACACGCACACGTGCACACGTGTGTCTGTACGTTTTACGCGATCGATAATACGCGGCACGGGCCGGAGAAACACGGCTGGACACGTTTCTAGCGGTCATTTTATTCGCCGGCGAATGAGCCCGCGGGTTTATTGGTTGTTTCGCGAACTACATTTCGAACGAATCACGGTAATCGTGCCGAGTGCACGTGACACCGGCACGCACGATTGGCCGTTCAATGAAATTCACACAAATAATCCTGTTTTGCCCGTGTCCCTTATCTATCGCTGATCGATATCGGCCGGCGGTCGGCGGTCGGCGATCGGCGGTCGGCGATTTACGGTTCGGGACCTATCCGACTCGATTCTTGTCGCTCGACGATTGTCGCGCGACGCACTGATTCCTGTCAGCTGCACACGCAAGTTCCTAGACGCCGATAATAGATACAGTTTTTTACCGTCTGCCGAGTTGACGCGCGTGGGACGTCGTTGCCGGACGCCTCGACTAAATTAGTATCGTTGCGATACTCGCGTGCCTATTGGAATTTGCTTGGAATAGCGTCACGGTACGACGCGAGATTTCTTTCGTTGCGAATGGACTGCGGATTTTGGTGCAATTCGCAGATGCAGCAGCAGCTCTAGAAAAGTCGGTCTTTCTTCTTGACAATTTTAGCGGATTTTATGGATGAAAGAATAGCGTCACCGTATTTTCTATTCCATGGTTTACACGCTCGACGTTTTCAAACGAGAATCCGCAGTCTGGTTGAGAATGAACGCGCGATCTTGCGATTCTCGCTTTCTTAAATTGTAGCGGCTTTCATTTGGATTCGCTCTTTGAATCAGTGGAGATTAGTGTGCACTTGTTAGACGAGCAAATTGAACTACTTGTATATAAGATTTATTGGAAAAGTTACTCTACAGTCCTGTCCAAATACTTCTGTTCGATTCGAATCGCAGCGAAAATTAAGTTACACCTAATCGTAGCGAAACTTCTGACTGCAAAAAATAAACGAATAAATAAATACGACGTTTCACGTGTAACAACTTGGCGAAAGATTCCCAATAACGATAAACAGCGTAAAAACTATTTATTCGATATCTTGGTACGAAAGCGGAGCCGTAGTTGTACCGTGGCATACCGTTTCATTCTCAGCGAATAAAACTCTGTTTGCACAAGCATCGAATCGAATAAACTTCGCCAATAAACCCGTGCACAAAAATTTC